GCCTTTCTTCTGGCAATAACCATAGCTTTCAGGACTGGAGGACTGGCTACACTAAGAGCAGGTCCTCCTTTCTGCAAATTAAACTTACGGCCTGGCCTTACCTTCTTGCCTAAGGTATTTTCTGCCTTCCATCCAAACCAGCCAGCTGTCGTTCCTGTCTTCTTTCCCACACCATCTTCACTGCTTCAGACAGCTCCGCACACTCTAGACATGAAGTGTGCTCTGTCGCATTATGTGCATAGCACAACCACTTTTCGTGCCTTGCAGCATCTCTTTGTCACCTTTGTCGGCTCCTCCTTCGGCGCACCAACTTCCTCTCAGACCATCTCTAGGTGGTTAGTCAAGACCATCCGTCTTCCCTAGGATTTGGCAGAGACTCCTCTTCCAAAGTCAGTGAGAGCTCACTCTACTAGAGCTGTGGCATCCTCAACAGCCTTTCTCCATGGAGTGGACATCGCAGATGTCTCCTATGCTGCCACATGTGCCACTCCACTTATCCTCATCTTGCACCACTGCCTGGATGTCCGGCTGAAGGATGAGGCTGCGGTATGTCGAGCTGTCCTGGCTTCTGCACTTTAATGATGTCCCTCCTCCTGGTTAGTCAGCTTGTCAGTCATGATTTCTTTTATGGCCTGCTGCCATTTTGTTCCTCAAGGAAGGGAATAACGTCAAGCTATGTGCACAAAGATCCCAAGGCTTGTAAGCTGCTCAGAAGGTTTCACTTTCATTTTTATTGCTTGTCCCTTCCTCCTCACACTTTGAGCCTGGTACAGATGTATTTCACTTCACATAGTTTTCAAACATAACATTTAAAGAAATGTATTCATTGTTTATACATAGATTTGCGGAACAACAATGGGACTAAGGTCTTTTCCTGAAGTTTATTTATTATATAGCATTTTTACTGTAATAAAAATCATGTTATCTCAGCTTGGACAACTTGAATTAACTGAATTAGTTTACCAAAAATGTAAATACTGTGTGAACATGCCGTCTCCTACTACATAACTAAGCTCTACTTCATGAATAACCTTTGAACTATAATGTATCTTAAATAGAAAACTATTTTAAGATATATTCACGAAGGCTTTCACGGCCGGGATTGTGCCGGGGTGGAGTTATATACCTGGTGTAGGGGAGGTCCCAGCACTAAGTGTTTAAAGCTGTGGAAGTTTCCAAAACTGCTCTGCTCTAGTGCAGATTAACCCATTAGTGTGAATTCACAGAGGACCACTCAAAGAACCAGACTTACAGGTAAGTAACTTCTTTTTTCTTTAACTAAAACAATAGCATTATATAGCATATGTATTCCTGTATTTCTTAAATGTCAATTTATATTAACTGAAGTGAATAAGCAATCTTTTAAAAAACCTTGAATATCAGCTATATTCCAATGAAAAACTTAAAGCACTGTCTTCTGCAGCTCACCTGTCTTCGTCTTCATTCTCTTGTTTATTGTTGCACATTGCTCAATTTCTCTATCATATATTTTATCCAGCAGTTTCTCTGCAACATCTGCTCTACTTGGTGGGCTATATCCTGGTCTCAATGACTGAATCATATTACTAAAATGTGGGTTTTTAAACAAATGGAAGGAAGAATTTGCTGTGTATTCAAACTGAGCAATTTTTCATCAGTTAACACTTTTTCTAATCTGTGGGTTTTTATCACAAACGTATCTATGCTGGTTCCAGATGGTTTCTTTCTTTTAAGTGATATATTGTGGATAGGTGTGAATGATGTGACTGATGTGCCATTCTGAAACTAACACAAGAGGATGGTGATGTAGAAGGTCGATAGTTTTCAGAATCATTTACGTTGAGGGTGGATTTCTCTAAAACAAAGTCAGTGCTGTTATTTTATTATTTAAACCATGTATGCTTATTATGTATTTCTCATTGTATTCACACAGTGCAGCCTAAAAAGGAATATTTGCATATTTTTAATTTATTATTTCTTTTTAGCAACTGTATAAAAATGCATTGCCATGCATTAACAATAATGAATATAATACCTCATGGTAGTCTTTTTTTTAAAAATGGTGAAATAAAAGTAGTTTACCAACTTGAAGGTCCTGCCTCTTGAAACATGTTCCTTCCATGCGAGACTTTTCGGGCCTCCAGGCCTTGCATTTCTTTGTTGCATTGCTTGCATTTTGCATGCATGCATGCTTTTCCAACATTTAGAGGAACTTTATTAAAATATTCCCAAAATGGATTTCTTTTATGGCCTGCTGCAATTTTGTTCCTCAAGGAAGGGAATAAAGAACGTCAAGCTATGTGCACAAAGATCCCAAGGCTTGTAAGCTGCTCAGAAGGTTTCACTTTCATTTTTATTGCTTGTCCCTTCCTCCTCACACTTTGAGCCTGGTACAGATGTATTTCACTTCACATAGTTTTCAAACATAACATTTAAAGAAATGTATTCATTGTTTATACATAGATTTGCGGAACAACAATGGGACTAAGGTCTTTTCCTGAAATTTATTTATTATATAGTATTTTTACTGTAATGAAAAGCATGTTATCTCAGCTTGGACAACTTGAATTAACTGAATTACCAAAAATGTAAATACTGTGTGAACATACAGCCTCATACTGCTGAATAACCTTTGAACTATAATGTTTCTTAAATAGAAAACTATTTTAAGATATATTCACGAAGGCTTTCACGGCCGGGATCTAATGGTTGTTGTGGGTTTTTCAGGCTCTTTGGCCATGTTCTGAAGGTTGTTCTTAAGATATATTCACGAAGCCTTTCACGGCCGGGATCTAATGGTTGTTGTGGGTTTTTCAGGCTCTTTGGCCATGTTCTGAAGGTTGTTCTTCCTAACGTTTCGCCAGTCTCTCTGGCCGGCCATCTATATAATGAGTGCTGTCCTCCGAAAATGCCGGCCACAAAGACTGGCGAAATGTTAGGAAGAACAACCTTCAGAACACGGCCAAAGAGCCCGAAAAACCCACAACAATCACTATTTTAAGATAGATTTTTCCTCCACAAGCATTTCATTAAAATCAATTTGGTTAAAATAATATATATATAAATCGCTTTTAATCCACCCTGGTTTAGGACTTTACCTATAGTTGCTGCCAGTTCCAAATGTTTCTCAGCCCTCTCCCCTTTCAAATACTCAATGACTTCTATGTGAAAATTCTGACTTGGATTAAGCCAGAGTTCCCACTTGCCCCTGAGTTTGGACACTCTGGCTTCAGAGCAGTTAACCAAAATAAAATTTAAAAAATGACAAGATACCTATTGTTTTGAATTGTTTTAATTGTTTTAGTATATAATGTTTAATGGAACCCGCCCTGAGTAGACTTTGTTTGGGGGGCGGATAGAAATCTAATAAATAAATACCTTCCTGAATTACTTTCTTCAGCATGTTCGTCATTAAGCCCATCTTCCCTGTTTTGGGCATTATGTATGGGACACCAAAATCTTGTTGAAGAAGCTGCCACACAATAAGATAAGGAAGATCAGGGGCTAGGGGAGGAGAGCTTCATTTATTCCTTCTGCCATATTGGCATCAGGCCATTGTATAAAACAAAAATTATATTTTGCAATAATTCCACAATATACAGCACATCTCAGAGCTAGTGAAAGTAGCCCTCTGCCAAGGCTTTTTTTCTGTTCCAAAGTAAAGGTATCATTCAGGGAAAAGAAGGTAGTAGCACAGTTTATATGCACCCATCAAACTCTTGCAGGTTCTCCAGACTTGTCTTTCACAGTTTTCAGTTAATGTCGTTGTTAGTTAATCCAGACACTTATGTCAGAAACTCAGGAAGTATTTTAAGCATGTCTGGAAAGATACCATAGTTGTCTGATACAGTAAAGCCTTTTAAAAAATCAATGATTTCCTGTATGGACTTTTGCTCCAATATTTTTCTTTGCCATTTTATAGAGAGTGAAGTGGTATGAAAGAGTGTTAGGCTGAAAAATCAAGTATCAGTTTGAAAACTGTATTAAAATTCCTTAACTCACATTTCTGAGAAATATGAAGTGGTTTTTATTTCCCAACTGGTTTTGCAATGTGAATTTTGCACAGTTATACTTGTATATAAAGCATAAGCTTAGAGAGATATAAACTGAGATCCAGAGAAGTTCCCATTTGTTGCCAGAATATTGTTTGCTCTTTTTGCTGAACCAGGTCCAATTCCTGACAGGACCAACAATATTCCAAACATGTGATTTCTGCCTCTTTGGCCTGCTGATCAGAACGTGCTTGGTATTTGGAATATAGTACTGTATATGGTTCTGCTTTCATTCATTTCAACAACCTTTTCATATAATTGTCATCCTTTTTAATTATGCTCAGAATGTCATCTCATGTTTATGAATAAGCTTTTGGAAAACAAACTGAAGCACATCCATCTCCATTTCAGTCCATGGAGTACATCTGAGCATTGAGTGGATCAAGAGCAAGATAACAGAACTTGGGTGTATAAATTAACCATGATTAGCTTTCATTTAGTTCTGACTAACTACTTTGGATCCATCCTATTGTGTGATGACATTTTGGTACTCATATATATGCATGGCAGGGGATTGTACTCGATGGCCTCTGTGGTTCTGCATACTGGTTGAAATTCTGTTGCTTAGTGATGTAAGTTGTAGTAGAGTAAGCCTATTGAATCAATGGAAGTTTGATGAGTTGACTCCTCTGTGTGTTAAGTGGGTCTGCTCTAGTTGTAACTTACTTTAAAATAGTAGGTCACAACTATATTACGTTCATTTGATCAGTGGAACTTGCTGAGGACTTGATTTGCCAAAACCCTACTGATTCAGTGGGGCTGACTGTAGTGTCGCTTACACTAAACAACAGGATTTCAATCATTTTCACGTCATGGGTGATTCGGAAACAAATAGTGTATCATCAAAGCTTCTATGATATAAAAAAAACACACTACAGTACATAGGGAAAGGAGAAGAAAAGGAAATAAGATGTTGCTTCCTGTTTACCACATGCTATTTAATGGTTGTTCTTTTATGCCCTACTTTAGTATCACATGCTGGCGTCAGTCCAGCTGAATATTACCATCAGATGGCTCTGTTGGCAGGTCAGCGCAGCTCATACGCAGACATCATTCCTTCCGCTGCCACAGCAGGAGCTGGTGCTCTTCATATGGAATACCTCCATGCTATGGATAGTAAGTGATATATGCTGCAGCCAAAGAAATTGACTGCAAATCCTGACCTTGCTTGGGGAGGGGGGGGAGGGAATGGAAAATAAAAGTGATAGAATGGGATTATTGTGCACAAACTTAAAGCATTGTTACTGAAGGCCAATTTATATGTGTAGTTGAGTATTATCCTCATGTGGTGACCCTTATTGTTATCATTGTAGTAGAAATCGTAGTAGAAATAGTAGTAGCAGTACCAGAAATTGTAGTAGTAACAATTATATTGGGCTTTAATCTGTATCTTTGCTTAACAACTGATTTTTCTGTCACTCTTCTTGTCCTTGGTTCCTGCATCTGTGATGCTGTTAGTCCTACTATATACATAGTATTTTATATAAGTTCACAAGAGGAAGAAAAAGAGAAGTTCCTCTCCTCAAAGTGCTTATATTCTAGATTTTTATAAGAGAAGGACAATAGTAGATGAGGTTGAGGAAGTCCTATAGATAGACGGAGACCTCCATAAATGAATAGTGTGCAGTCCCAATTGTGGAGATACCCATTAAAAGCCACTGTCCTACCTTCAGTGTCTGGACAGTGTCTGTGAAGCAACCAACATGAACCTGACACAACTCCGGGAGGCAGTAGAAGACAGGAGGGCCTGGCGTGCTCTGGTCCATGGGGTCACGAAGAGTCGGACACGACTAAACGACTAAACAGACAGACAGTCCTACCTTCAAAAATATGAACATCTCCAAAATGGTTCTGAAAGGGAAAAAAGTACCTTGTCAAAATGTTTATATCAAAAATGTGTGTGATTCTGTGATTACTTAAGGACTTAGAACATAGGAAAGCAAGCCTTGGTGGTAAGTAAAGAAAGGAAGTTAGGGGAAATGATTGGTAGTATGAATTCATGAGCTGACGGGATAGCTCAGTGGCTTAGGTATCTTACTGCGGAGCCAGATGTATGGGGTTCAGTGCCCCACAGTACTTCCTGGAAAAGAGCCAGCCTGTGTAGAGCCTTGGGCAAGTCCCCAGAAGAAGGAAATGGTAAACTACATTTTTAATATTCTCTACGTAGATAATCCTGAAAAGCAACACCGTAAGTCAAAATCAACTTGGCAGCACACAGTTGTTGTTGTTGTTGTTGTTGTTGTCGTCGTCGTCGTTAAGCCAAGTTGTGGTTTGCTTTATTCACATTTTTCTGATTCAAGGTTCATTGAAAAGCATTGTCACAGATTTAAAGATATATGATTTTTAGTGTTACTAACTTCATTGTGCTGTGTGAATTTAAAAACCATTTAAGGACCATTTTGACACAGCATAGATACAGAAAATTTTGTTCTTTAAAGTTTATTGTCAAATAGTTGCTTGTTTAAAACATTGTGTGCCAGTACTGAATTGTAATAAGTGAGGCAGTTCTTGGTCATTGTTTAGTTGATCATTATGATAAAGAAAAGGTAATGAGGAAGCAAATGTAATGTAATAAGGGATCAGATAAACTAGGGAATGTGCCATGGGCCTATTGCCCTGTGTGACTAATCTTGCTATATATTAGAGATGGACTAAAAATGAACAAGGAAGTTTGTCTAAACTTGCCAGTTCATTGATTCAGATCAGTTCGAGTTCGTCCAAATGAGAACACACAAACTTTCCCAAAACAACAAAGTTTTGGGCACTGTGTAATAAGGGATCAGATAAACTAGGGAATGTGCCATGGGCCTATTGCCCTGTGTGACTAATCTTGCTATATATTAGAGATGGACTAAAAATGAACAAGGAAGTTTGTCTAAACTTGCCAGTTCATTGATTCAGATCAGTTCGAGTTCGTCCAAATGAGAACACACAAACTTTCCCAAAACAACAAAGTTTTGGGCACTGCAGT